GACAGGATTTACTACAGCGTCATACGATCGGTGTTAGGGTGTAGATCAGAAACCTGGTCAGTTCATGGTGGAGACAGTAAGCACTTGGCCGTGTCTGACCATAACCGATTGCGGAGTAGTACTCAAGTCTGCTGGGAACATCGGGTGGGTAATGGCGTGGTTCACTAGTTGGATTTTGGAAAGAAATCTTCTGGTGCCTCAATCAATGGTTTGCTGAACCTTAACGGTTTATGTTATCTAGGTCATATGTTGTCAACGCAAGTCGACCACATTCCTCGGTGTGCACTATACACCATCGATGGGACAAGTTAGGTGAGACCCTTAAGTGGTCAGCTGATGGCGTGGCATAAAGAGACGAAGAAATTGGCTGGGGGACTTGGTCAGACTGATGCACGCCGTCTTGAATGAATGCAAATTTCGCGAATGTGCCAGTCACAGTCAAGCTGCTTGGACTGTTCATATGGTACAACATGAACACAAAGTAGAGATGTTATTTCAAATTTTCCAGAACAGTACCAAATCAGATTTTTTGGGAGTTCAACAGGCAAAAATGGTAAAAAGGAGTTTCAAAATAAAATGAAGGTCGTTATTAAGAAAAACACAATAGAATTAATAAGCCTATCAGTGGTGTCGACTCATGGGGACCTGCTTCCATGCGGGGTAGTCCGTCGAAAGTTTTCATCCGCATTTCCACGTCCCACTTGGCTTCGTGTCGGCGTGGCATAAGAGCAAGCGAGTCACCACCATACTGGCTCATTTTTATGGCCGTTCGTATATATAATGACTAATAGCCCGCAAAGATAAGTGAGTTCTCATGTTTTTCATTTTTTTATAATCCTTTGAGCAATTCAGCCCATTTCGGCTGCTGATTTTTCCGAGTCGGACATTTTTTCTACTCTGGGGAGCATATCTTTTTCCCCCTGTGACAGATCGTCACAAGTGGGTGTATTAAATAATCCGGAAGCTTCATTCCATCACCTAAGGAGATCGGCATGTAGTCAACAGTGGAAAAAGGAAGTATAGAAGATGGCAAAATACGCGGATTGATAATGGTGTGGTATATATGCAACAAGTTGTGCTTCAGCTTGTAAAAGGGGGTTACAAATAAATAAGGAGAAATAAGGAGAAATGGCTCTATAAACGATTTTGAGATGGATTCAGCGGCTCCAGGCAGTCGAGTTGTTGAGTAATTGGTATGGAGAGTGGACTTCACCGAGCAACAACAAATGCCAAAGGTAATCAAGTTGTTTTTTTCCAGGAAAAAAGAGGCAACAGTTAGCAGTGGGTAGTAAAGAGAGAACGGAACATTAGGTTTGCATAACAAAGAGCGAAATAACGTGATGTTGGAATGGAAATAAGCTTAATAGTTTAACCAAAAAGGAAGATATTATTCATATGGTTTGCACATATTATCGTGCAGTTGTCCCTGTTACCTATACTCCAATTCCTTCTGCATACATTGTCCCCACTCCGCACTCCAGTTTCATAAGTTCTTTGACTTACAGTGAGGTACGTATACAGCATTATTCTAAACGATTGTTTAGACCCACATAGATGTCCGAGTACTTCGTTAGATAAACTTTCTGTGTATACTTGTTTTGTTCTACTTGCGGAAGCGAATTTCTCTTATTCCCACTGGTATACCTTGCATTTTGAATGAAATGTATACTAGTGCGCGGGACAAATACTCGTTTGTGCACTACGTCGAATAGTTGCTTCAGGTCCAGGCTTAAATTTAAGCAGAATACAGCGCCCTGAATAGTTTGGTGTTGGGGATTCGGTAAATGGGGCTTTAGTGAATCGACGCTGCACATTCTCCAGGTATAGACGATCGCCTTTTCTATAACTAGTAAATATCATCGAGCAGTATTCCAAAAGAAGGTGCACGCAGATCTTGAACATAGGCAGCTTGGAAGCACGCAATATCAGTGATTTGAAGATTAACCGCGCTGTTTTACTGACTTTGGCAGCTATGAATTCGATCTGCTCCCCGAAATTGAGGGTGCGTGAATGCCCAAGTCGCTTATTGTGTTGCTGAATGGAGTTGGCTTTTACAGAGGTATACGGTGTCCATATCTATTTCGCATCGATATGTTAAGCTCCGACATTCCTCCGCCGCGAATAACATTTGTCAGTTGGTACAATATGTTTCGAGAGCGGAGAAATCACTCCGTATCTTATCTAAAGTGTGTTCCAGATTACTAAGATTAAAAGTGTACAGTACCATAATATCATCTCTATAAAATTTAAGCTTTTACATTTTTAAGAGTTTCTGTTAAGTCATTAATGTACATCAAGAATGACAGTGGACCAAGGACACTCCCTTGGATCACACCACTAGTATAACAGGCAGCGATGATGACCTAGGGATTCCTATTTGCACTTGTTGCGTGCGAGCAGTAAGATATGATCTAAACCAAGCATGCAAGGGGTCTATGATGCCAAATTGTGACACTTTCCATAGCAGGTGGCGATGCGGCACTCTATCGGATGCTTTTTGCATGTCAATGAAAACGATGATAGCTGCATGGCCATTATCCACAGAGCTCGTTAAACAATTCACGAATTCCAGCTGGCATGTTTGACATGATTGCTTTCGTAGAAATCCATGCTGAGTCTGATTAACCAGCTTTTGTGAACACGTGGTTTTTATCGTTTTCTCTTTGGTTATTCACTCCATTATACTCGTAACAATAGGCTTATGATTAATCGGGCGGTAGTTTCTGAGGTCTGCTTTTGACCCATTTTTGTGCCGAGGTTTTACTAGCGCGAGTTTCTATTGGAATGGAAAAATGCTCGACTCCGTGGACAAGGTAAACAAGTTTAAGGGTAAAAATGATATATCATGACCACCGTATATTAGCAAGGAAATGGGTAGACCGTCTGGGCCTGGATAAGAAAATGATCGTAGTCGGTCTAGGTGGTGCTGAATATCTCTGCTGTTGCAAGTCACTGTGCGCAGTTTTACAATGCTAATAGGTGTACTGGACGAATGTACGTCACTTAGAACAGTGAGCGATGAGATAAAGTGATTATTTAGAGTATCTGCTGTCGTGTAAGGACCCGAACTCAGAGATTTGTCTGATAGAGTAATGGCGAAAACTGTATCAGATTGGATTTGATTTCGTGTCCGCATCATTCTGACTGTCTGGATTTGTTTGTAGACTCCAGAGTTTGTTTCTCTTCAGCCAATAATCTTCACCTCTCTTTCTACCAAATACAGCAAGGAGCTTATCCTGGCTTATTAATAAGGAGAAATAAAGTGTCCGTTTAATCTGAGTACGTACTTTCTTTAATTGCGTGGCGTTCTTAATGAAACAGTTTTACTCCATTGTTGTTTGTTTGGCTCAAGGACGTCTAGGATATGTTCTTTTGTAAGAGAAAGCTGATTCCAGTTCGTTGTTCCCAATCTAAATCCCTAAGTTCTCTGCGTGGCGCCACCATAGGCAAAGGATTTGGTTTCGCGATTATTACTGATAATGCGGAATTGAGATATACCACATTATGCTCACTACATGGAAAGAGATCACCTTCACAGTAGTGTTAAAATATCATGAGTAAATATTAAATCCAATATATTGTTACCTCTCGTCGGTTTTCACACCGCTTGGGACCATCCCAGTAGCTGGATTTCTGAGATGAGACTCATGAGTTGTGATGGTGCAGACTACTTTTCCCGGGAAACATTTGCATGTTGAAATCACCCCCGATTATTTTGTGAGCGAAAGGTAGATCGGAGGCGTATTCAAAAGCAGAGAAGAGATCATATAAGTGAAGGGTGTCACACTGCGGAGGGATATAGACACAACCTACTAGGATGTTGGTATTGTTCAACTCCACAGAAAACCAGACGGATTCAGTAACATTGTCTAGCTGTGGGTTTAATATTGTATGGGTAGGTGAATAGATGTTCTCGAGCACAAATAGCGCACCAACCAACATTACTCGTATGACTGCTACTAACGAAGGAAGTGTAACCCTCAACAAGGTAATAAGTATGAGATACATGGGGGGAAGAACCATGTTTCACTTAATAGCATCAAATGGAGAAAGTGACAGGAGCAATAAGATAGCGAAAGCTGTACATCTTATTATTCAGGGAGTGTACATTAATAAGGAGGTTTACAATATTGCTCAGCTCAAAAGGCAAGTTGAATACGTCTCGGAAAATAGGTGGTATGACCGAGGTAGTATTTGTGCAACTGGCCACTGGTGGTAGTTGAGAAACATTGAGGCCGCTGTACACGTGCGGTTGGGCTAGGTTGAGAAACTAGCGATGTATCTCTGGGAATGTCAGACTGGGAAGTAAGGGCGGTGGAGAATAATTTCAATGATGGCCTAAAACATTTGGCGGTGGGACTTTTGACGAAGTTTGCAGTAGTGGGCTGTGCTCAGGACTCCACGGATTTGCTGTGGTTCGACAGTTTTCCAGAAGTTGTGGGCGGGACGTAAAGCTTCTTTTTGGTGATCTAAAGCCTATTTTGCTGAATGGGATGAGCTGTCGCAGCTGCCTGCACTAGGAATACAGCATCTTAACATCAGATAGATTAAGGAGCACAAGATCGGAGCAATCCATAGAAGATGGTTTAAGCCTTATCCATGAGACTAACCACCCTTTCAAGAACAAGTGTCTCTTTATTGTGTCAATGATATTTCGTTAATGGATCAATTTAATGTACATGTCACAGAAGCCCAGGCAGCGGTGATCCTGCACTACGTTGCTTGCATCTAACTGTTAATTTCATCTGACCTCGATTAGTTTAATGCATTTCTGATTTCATTTTGTTTGCAATCTATTTGCAATCAATCTCCTTTTCGCCCTTACCATTTATTGCCATTCCGGAAATGTGAGTCATGGCAACTGGATCCACTGCAATTCGGTGCCTGGATCACAGTGGTACCACTGAACTGAACCGTTTAGGTTAACAAAATGTTTTTAAGTGTCGAGATAAGAACTTTATGCACCAACCTCACTTGCGGACACAGGAAAGGACACCCACCTGCAGCATACTGAGATGTAAGGCATCGTTAGCCCGTTTCGGAACGTCCAACATCGCATCCAAACCTTCTGTCAGTTCGGCCACACTAGCCGGATCGCAGCAATCGCGTAATTCACGTAATAATAGTTGATACTTAGTGACACGTTGAACGGGCTTGATGAGATAAGATTGCAACGGTTCAAGCAACTTGTAGTGATGCTGCAAAGGAAAATAATATGGGAACAAATGTCGGCATCTTGACGTTAACGGGACTATGACATGTGCCCTGAAAACTGAACGCGATGGAAACGCATGTTTGAATAAATCCCAAGCAAGAACGCGACGAGACTATTGGTTGACGGGAAAAAATCAAATCAACAAAACTAGCAACTATTCAACACTGCCGTCGCTTACCAGCCAATGGCAGATGTGAAAGTCTCGTGAGCAACAGGACGACGACTTCAGTGTGCCGGGACTGTTGGCGGTTGTATGTAAATGAGCACCCGAGGATTCTATGTTTGATGTGAGTGAACTGAGGCGACTGGGCCATATGCCTTAAAAACAAGTAATAACGTGGTATACCAAGCTGCGCATGGTGGCGCTGGAATGTCAGCACCAGCAACTAAGCTATCTTTCGGATGTGACAGATCTTTGATTACAGTAGTATATTTGAAAGAAAAGTGAGGCTGAAAGTGAAGATAATACCATGTTGGGCAACGACTAGTGGCGCAGTGAACGTAAATGGTTAGGGGATCTAACCATAGAATGTATGTGCATCGCCACCAAAAGCGCTATCCGATGGCCGCGCGTCTGCTTCAAAAGTCTTGAACCGTTAACAGCGCTCGACAAGTGGCACTCGCTTTGGAACCTCTTATTTGAGATAAAATATCGGGATAGGGATAGTGATGAAATACTGAACGAGTCAGAGTTTAATACCTCAGAGTACATCCATTTCGAGGGAAGACTAACCAAACAACAAAAGACCAAACTAATGGGCGTAATCAGCATAGATAAGCGGTACAAACTCGTTGTAACATTGGGTGACTCAAAGCATAATGACCTTTCACGCAGTACTCTCAATATGCAAGTAAACAGCCGATAAAATCGTATTCGGAATACCCACTCGCAATACAACAGCGTACATGAAAGATGCTGCAGTCAAGAATTTAAGTATCCGTCTACACTTAAACACTGGTTGTCGAAGAAGAACATTTCACTCGAATATATCAGATTCAATGGGACGAAAAAAAGCTGATTCATTGAAGTAGATTCGGTTCTGGGAGAGAGATCGAGCGCAAAATGATAGAAAAGAGGATAGACGTACTTGCAACAGCTGAAAGTAGCTTTGACCGTGTTCAATGACTAAACGAGTAGACTCAGTGTGATTTACACAGTATTCTATGTACAACTCAGCCAAGCGTTCGCTGTGGATCACAAAGCAGTGACCGACGTCCTCCGGAAGAAACCCGCCGCCCTCTGTGTATTTGCCCAATTCCGGCTCGAACACGAGCTTGTGAAAGTCGTAGATGGCCGGAATATTCCCGAACACAACATCGGCCATGCCAACTAGGCCAGGAGGAACCTGTGAAGCAAGGAATAATTAATGAGGTTACTAGTGCACAAATTGTGCGCTTGAAAAGGACAAAATCAAAATAACAAAGAAAATGTACCTGTAGATACACAAGACTGTAACCAATGCTGATCCGCCAATAAGTCAAACCGGAAGCGCAGGGGAATTAGAAAAATGAGTGTAATGGGCAATCGAAAACGGTCAGTAACTGCATCCAGCTCTATAGGTAGTGACGAAATTGAAAGCTGAGGCTGAACAGCCGACTACTCATACTGCACGGTGTGTGTAACAGTCGTGAAAGCGCCTATACAGGTGGTCAGCGTATGCTAAATTCGGCAACAGCTTCGTAGCCGTTGGTGATCTTGAATAACATTCACAGTTACCCCATAAAGGAAGCTGACCGGCCAAGCAATAGGGGATGCAAAAAGAACGTGAGAATTCGCGCAGTCGAGCAACTGTCCATCCTGACAGCAAGGGGTACAATATTTCTCAAAGTACAGTTGGTACAGCTGTTACAATTCGTGTTGCCATGATAACCACAAATAACAACAGCAAGGAAAAGTGATATAGAATGTAAAAAAATAAAATAGGAAGTTGGGGAAGAGTTATGCAGGGTTAACAGGAAGAAGAAAGACGCAAACAGCCGAACGCATGGGCAGCACTGGCTGTAATTTTGTGACATGTGTGATAGGGTGACACATCCTGAGACCCACATACAGGAAGACGGCATGCACCAGCCTGATAAAGTAGCCCAGTCAATTTGCTGCTTTTACGCCACGACATCCAGCGACCACTTCGCGGTCTCACCCAACTTAGTGCAGCCACGGCGTATAATGCATGTCGGTCGACGTGCATACGAGGGACATGACCTAGCCAACATAAGCGATTGAGATTCAGCAAACATTCGAGTGAGGCAACAGAAAGCTTCTCGCCAAAAACCAACTGACGGATCTCAATATTGCTCACCTACTGTTCCCACCAGACGTCAGCAATACTCCGCAATCACCGGTGGCCGAACACAGTCAAGCAAGTACTATCTCCACCATGAACTGATCAATCGGCTGCCTGGCGGAACGTCCACGCCGGAAGAGCTTGAAAGAACAGAGTCACTTATAATCAGTTCTATCATAAAGTTGAGAAGGAAAGCAGCTAACTGACAGCCTTAGGGAACCTAGGTAGTCTAGGCTTCCTGTAAATTCATACCCGGCCTCCGGAGTCAGAAGTAAGTGAATTCATACGGGAAAGCCTACGTTGTGTGACTTTCATGGACTTCCATAGACAAGCAAACAACGACCATTTGCCAAGTGACCAAAGATACTTTAATTGAATATTTAACTAACGATGGCGCATGTAGGAATAGAAAAGTGGCCACTCATGCACGTCTGTGTGTACGTGATGCGTACACGTAGTACGGTGTGTCTTAACGGGTATCCTGAATACGCAACATGATCTCCCGTCTAGTCATGCGGAGCGTAAAAGACATCTATCGGATGGACTTGTTTTTCGATCTGGCCTGTGTAGCATTTTGCTGTTCAAGGCTTTATGAACTCGACTAGAGACCTTTTCGGCATGTTTACACTAGTGCTGTGGATATAATGAGGGATAAGATTGACATAAAATTGTAAGCAAAACATTAAAAAAGATGCATTCCCATCACTCAGGTGAACGTTCACGCGTGGCGTTGATACGCTCCTAGGAAGTCCACAAGAGAAGGGGATAAATACGGTAAGATAGCTATGATAAGACGTTGTGCAAGAAAAGAAAACTCAGAATTAAGAGTGGGTGAACGGACAAGAGAGAGCTTTTGATAAATCATCGTGAAGTGGGTGAAAAGGATCATTTAAAGCCATTAAAGCAAATTTGCCCATGCACCAAAATGCTTAGTAATGACCAGACGCTTCTGACAGTCCACTACACATGGAAGTAAGCTTAACGGAACGCACAATCAATGTGGTGTTTTCGTAGAAGACCAGGCAAATGATAGATGAGCAATACAACCAGTGGGTAAGAAAACAGGCAGTCATGAATTTATAAATTAATGAGCATGGTAATAATAATGCTAGTGGTCCGAGTAACGGTGTCTGTAGCGGCACAGATGAATAGGTACAAAAGTGGCCATGCTTTTGCATGGGCGATATGCATATGTGGAATAATGAGGCGTTTTAGTGGATGGTTGAGGCGAAATTCAAGGTTTATAAAGGTGGGTGTTTATACATTTTTGGGCCCCTCTTGGAATAGCTTATCGAGGGATTTTTCCCACATGAATCTAATCACGATGGCATGCAGGTCAAGGCAAACTGAGAGCTTGTCACAAAATGTTGCCATATTGCTACATGACCTGAGCGTGATTGGCAGTTTATTCCACAGACAGGTATAGCTGAAAATTGGCGCATTCTTGTTTGTGTAAAATCTTTGTTGCGTAGCTCTCAAATGGAGCTATGTTGCAGCTCAAGTGTAGGCAGATGGGAATAGGTTTTCTTGTGTATAGATTGTAAAGCAGCAACAAGTTACGCTTCAGTCGTCGAATCCAAAGTGGTTCGAGTTGAAGTTGGTTGCAACGCTCTAGACAATTCATGACGGAGTGTTTACCAGTCAGAATTTTAGAAAAAGACCTCCGCAGGTGCTTCACAGCAATTCTGTCGCTCTTTCACATATTAGCGTATATTATGCTGCCGCACTCGAGGATGAATCGGGTGAGTAGCTTAAGAAGCTGAACTCTAGCATGGATTGTGTGGAGTTTATTGGATATATTGAACACTGATCGTCTGGAATGTACTACTTGTACTGGGCCTGTTCGGAGAAGTTGAAGTTAGGTAAGTGCCTGATTCCGAGATCGCAAGTGCAAGTGCATTGTTCAGTAAAATAGGTCCTTCAGGGATGGTGCTTGATTTCTTATCCGAAAGGCTCACCATTCACGTGTGGCACAATGTCTCAAGGGAAAGTAAGTCATCTTGAATGAGCAGAACTGTTCCGTGAAGTTCGTCACACCGAAGGCCATAGACGATCTTGATATCGACGGCGAATAAAAATGGCCGACCAGGTTGTACACATGTGGTGATGTAGCAAAGGAACAGTGAAGGATCGAGCACACTCCGTTGGATGACCCCACTAATGATGTGGCGTGGGGAAGAGATAGTCAGCTAAAGTGACTAGCTTGTGACGACCACTCAGGTATGTCAATACCCAACCTAATAATCGGTCCCGGATCCTAAAGGCCACCAATTTTGTGACAACTTGTGAGGTACTCGGTCGAATACTTGGTGTATGTCAAGAAGTAGTATTACTACTGCATATGCGGAATCGATAGACGCTGAAACGTAGTAAAGACAATGCGATTGAAGGGTGGTGCATGATCGCTTATCAACAAAACCATGATCCAAATTATTAAGCAGGCACAAAGAAATGACAAATTTCATCACGCCATTTTGACCGTTTTTTTCAATAACCAGGCGACTATTCAAGGGTGGTGGATTGGCTGGTAGTCCTCAATCTTTCGTTTGTGACCTCCTTTGTGACGAGGCATGATAAACGGGGTTTTGCATTGATCTGGAAAGTGGCTAGACTCCAGCGACACAGTGAACATGTTATCAGGAGCAGTGTCATGTTAGGCCCTAATGTTGGAATGCCATATGATCCTAGCTTGGATGGCCTGATTGACTTGATAACTTTGTGGATACCGTTGAGCGAAAGATCAACTCTGTTAAAGACGTCTGTAACTGCAAAATTGTTGTACGCAGGTACGTGGTCATCATCGAGACACATAGGAGTGGCAGGGTAGTAACGCAATGGTTCACAAATTGCAGCCGGGTCAGGAAATGTAGCTCACGCTCGATGAACAGCTCTAGAAGTTGTGGATTGGTTAACTTACCTTGGAATCTGTGTCACCCATGGTGGTCACATCGCTGAGGAGGTTAAGTCACGTATCAGCAAAGCCCATGGCTATCCAGAGGCTGAACCATCTATGGAGACGGCAGACAATCAGCCTGTCAGCGACAGACAGGGTTTACTCTAGCGCCATGCGATCGGTGTCACGGTGTAGATCAGAAAGCTGAAAAGTTCCCGGTGGAGACAGTAAACGCTTGGCCGGTGATCGCGGAGTATTACTCACGTCTGGTGGGAACAGCGAGTGATCAATACTGAGGCGCGCCAGTTGGTTTTGAAAAAGGAGCCTTCTGATGCATCACTCGAGTGCATAACCGCTTACCTTGGCTAGGTCATGACTTCCCTATGCACGTCGACCGACGTGGCGTTGCTACATTTGGTTTCTTGCTTCTAGCTGTCAATTTCTATTCCGTCCTGATTGGTTTAACGCACATCATTCCCGATTCCATTTTCTTTACATTCGAATTGCATTCGACCTCATTGTTGCAGTTATTATGTATGGTTATTCTGGCGATGTGAGTCATGGCAACCGGATCCACCGCAATTCGGTGCCCAGAGCATAGTTGTTTGATTATATTGAACTAAAGAGACGAGTCCACTCAGTACAGTCACCCTTATTATTCAGTAGAGATAGAGGAAACAATCTGACGCTGGAACCTTGCGCCTCGTTCCAACACAATGAGTTCATAACGAATCATGTCCAAGGTGGAGATGTGACATCAATTGCTAATGTAAAAGGACAGACATCAGCAGCATGCGGGTACGCAGTACCGACGCTTCGCTACCGCGCAACCGAAACCAGTCGCGTGTGAGCTAAGGGTACTGCGAGGGTCCCCCGGTCCCCTATGCGACCTCAGGATTACAAGACAGGCTTGTAATCCTTAAGGCTACGGGCTAGCAACTTTTAAATTTCACCCTTGGAATCAGATGATTCAACAAAAGGCGAAACTGCATGATTGCTGGAATGCTCCGCCCAAAAGGCAAGTCGATGCGATGAGAACAGATAGACCGTCCACTCGACGATCAGGCAGCGCGAAGTTTCTGTGCCGTACTCCCGTCTATTGCAGTCGTCCTATAACTAGTGGAAAACGGACTTCCATAGTTTCACTCCAGTCGCCAGTCAAGTCGAC